ATATATATATTTTATACATATAATCATTATTATAAGATATAATTAAGTCTTTACTTATAAAAAAATACTTCTGCCATATACAGGTTTACTTAAGTATGTCCATCGCACAATAACATGATCAGCTAAATAATACAAAATCTTTCCCGTTAATGAGAAAGTTTTAACTCTACAAAAACTCTCTATGAATATAATAACGTTTTCTGTAATAAACAGAATTTTAAACAAAAATGCTATGACACATAAAGGTATACAGGTGCCAGGACCATTGCATACAATAAGCTCTGGATTTTCTCTCCATAAAATTGGAAGACAGTTTAGTGTGGCAAATATAGTAGTCCAAATTGATGTGAAATATGACTGCCGAACTTCACGACTTCTATAAATTTCCACAATTTTGTAATCTTTATTACCATTTTCTAGATCTCTAACTTTTTCTGCACTAAGTTTATCTGTCTGAGCATGAATATATACTCTGGGCGAATAATTCTTAATGTTTAAATATTTAACAATTCGCAACATTTCAGCTGTGTGTCCACCAGATCCTAATATTATCATTGTTTTAATTGAACAAGACTTTTCTTTAGGTTTAGTGCTTTTCATAAATATCAAATAACAAGTTCTGGCAAGTATCAATATACAGGGAAACATAGCAAACATAAAATATTTCACGTACATCTTCTTGTTTTATTTGCTGAAAAGAGTATTACGAAATACTTAATATATATACAAATTTACAAAGGATTAAATTACGTTAATAATAATTCTTACTAACCTCACTACAAATTATGTGTCAGTTCATCAACTGAAAAAATAAATAAATTATAGATTAAATTATCAATTAAATTGTAGATTTATGTAGACATTGCTTTTGTAAATGAGTTTTTTACTTATGCTTTTTTGTACGAAAAGTCTGCTTTTTCTTTAATTTGCATTCGCACGCAGTTCCATAAAGCCAGCGACACATGACTACTTATTTTCCTATTGAATTGCTAGCTAGATTAGAATCTTGCCACCGTATTGGCTGCGATACTGTTACAGGCCTAGTTTCCACTGAGAGTTCCCACTTAAATCCGAATTAGAATGTAAAAACCAACCAACTACAGTCGAGCATTCCCCTGTCATTCGACTGCAACAAAGCATACTCAACTGTAGTTGGTTAATTTTTAAGGGTTTGTGCTCCGCACAATAAAAGGTATAGAGAATAGAGAACAGAAAATAAGGGGCTTCGCACAATAAAAGGAACAGGGAACAGAGAATAGAGAATAAGAATTTCAATTTATCAGAAACTATGTATTCTACAATACATGATTTCTGATAGGAAAAATTATTGAAATTCTTATTCTCTGTTCTCTGTTCCTTTTACTGTGTGAGAACCCTAAGAATTTCAACTACCAGAAAAATGTATTGTGGCATACACAGTTTCTAATAGATTGAAATTCTTATTTTTTGTTCTCTGTTCCCTGTTCCTTTTATTGTGCGAAACTCCTTATTTTTTGATCCGGATTAAACCCTTGGTGGAAATTAGGCCACAGTAGATCGGTTGTGTATCTTAAAATGAGGTGAAAATTACAAAAATAAACAAATTCACTAGAATATTCATAATTTAATTAGTCAATACCTAGTAATTATTGCTCACTTTTGTAAGTAATATATTTTTCATCTCATTTCAAAATACATAATCGAGAATGTAAGAATCAATCAATTACTACAGTCGAGTATTCCCCTGTTACAGTCGAACAACAGGGGAATACTCGATTGTAGTTGGTTGGTTCTTACATTTTGATCCGGATTAAATCCTTGGTGGAAACTAGGCCAATTGCAAAATAAACATTCTAGATATTAACAGAGAAAAACCTAAGAGTCATGCTAGCCTTTTTCTTATTATCGTCGAAATCGCCCGTACATTATCATCTATTTTCAGTTGGAAACTACATTACTACATACATTTTTTGACACTATCAATAAAATCGTATCGTCAAAAGTAGAAGTGGTTATGGATATTCGGATAATCATGTCTATGGATATTCAGCACTTTTCCTATGGATAGTCAGTACGCTTCTAGCTTGAGGATTCAGTACAGACACGAATCACATCTACTTTCAACAATGCGATATCGATAGTGAAAATGTAGTTTCTGACGATAGTCAGAAAATGTACGTAGTCATGTATTATAGTTCTAAGATTGAAAATGGAGATATGTACTGGCAGTAATGTACGGACGATTTCTACAGTCACTAGATTTTCAAAGTATCACAAACTCGCATCCATTTTGATGTGGCCATTTTCAAATTTACGCATTTGAATATACGTACTTTATTTGGTAAAATAAAGCTGTAAAGTACATAAATAAATGTTTTTTAATTATTATTAATATATTTATGATCAAAAAGTATGTATCATTTATGTATGCTTAATTTATGTATTATTTAGTTTAATCATCGACAAGATATTATTAAAGACCGACATCCTTATAGAAGTTCGCGTAAATATTGTCGTGATTAAGAGTTAAAAACTGATAATATTATACTAAATGTCAATATTATACTAAATGTGTCATTATCAAAATTTAATTATCAATAGAGATGACTGCAGAGAAAAAAATTGTAATTTTTCCACAATATATAGGATAGCTTTACAAATTTGCATATTTATTAGGGAACATTTATGTAATAAAAAATTTTGAATTTAATAATATATGAACCAAATATTTATGTTAATAATAGCAAATTTATATTAATTATTGATAATTTCAGAGTTCTTCAATTATTCTCCGGATCTTGGGCTCTTTTTTATACTGTTGAAAATTTGCCCAGGATTAACGGTCTTTAAGTGCAGGTTTCTGTGCATAATAGAAGAAATAAGGAATTAGAAATTAAGAATAAACGATTTCGACCTATAGAAACCGTGTATTCCAATGTATCCAATTTTTAATAGATTAAAATCGTTTATTCTTTATTGCTAATTCCTTGCTTTATTCCTTCTATTTTGCGTAGGGCTTAATAGTATCTCATCAGTGGTTTAAAAAAGGTTTATTTATTGTAAAAATTTAATGCATATAAAAGTGCATGTAAGTACAATTTAAAAGATGAACTACCAACCATCATGCTGAAATCGTGTACTATGTGTACTTCGACCATTTTGATGCGACATTTCTGAAATTAATTGCGGTTCTTTAGAAATCTAGTGATTTTAGGCGATTTCGACACTAATAAAGAAAAGGCCGGCATGGCTTCTCTCAGATTTCTCTCTGGGAATTCTATATCTTGAAATGAGATGGAAATTACAAAAGTGAGCGAATTTATTAGAATATTGATAATTTCATTGGTCAACATCTAATAAATTTGCTCAATTTTGTAATTTTCATCTTGTTTGAAGATCGATGTTAACAGAATCGATCGCTTGATATCAATCATTCTCCCTGAAATCAACACTTTTTTTTCAGTATAAAAAGTGAAAAGTGAAAAATTTCTCCATTAATTTCAATGGTCAAAATTTTCATTTTTCATTTTCCAATCTAGGGATAAAGTTTCATGATTGATACTCTGCTGAACGCAACCAATAAGCTTACAGCTCCTAAAATGTTCATTGGTTACCGCGTCATCTTGTATCGAATTTGGCATCACTGCTTCGATGGAAACTGATGGAAACTAGACCACTGTCTAGCACGCCATTTTTATTTATACATGTATGGATATGGATGGAGAGTAACGAATTAGATCAGATTGACTGGGTCGTGTAAATTCGTTCAGATTTGTTCGACAAATCCGTAATAGTCGAGAGGTGATTAAAAGATGTGTCGCTTTGCAATATGTATGTGATGCGAATCATTGGTGTATGCAACGGGCGACATTTTCGTGAACATTTGGCGTGAAGGCTGTTCACGCAAACGCTCGATCGCGGTCCGTGTGGTCTGGAGTAGTGTTAACCGTGAACCGTCTGCAATATTCTTCCCAGTACTTTTCTCAATAAAATGGACCACCGCCAAAAGGTAAGTCAACAAAAGCAGTTCGAATGTGCAACAAATGATGCGTCAGGAAGAACGACATTTTTCTCGTTTGTCAATGGATCTTCGGAGAAAATTTAAGCATTTCGACAAGGCATTGACAAAACCTAAATGTCATACAACAAGATAGAAATTTATTTATCAGCAAGAATTACAAGAATTATTCGCATATCTTGCGACAACCTGTCTATCCGCGCGTGCTTCTCATGGAGTTATCAACGCTACAAAAACCTAATGTCATTTTATATTGTTTCTTGTTATGATCTACTATTTATAGGTCTATCTTTGTAGTTGAATTAGTATAATATACATTTTTACTTAAGATGAAATAAATATACAGAATGTATACTAATTAGGATTGGGTAGTAATAGTTAGTTAATAAGTTAAAAGTTAAATGAAGAGTTAAAAATTAACTTAAATTAGTTACTTTTAAACTTTAATTTAACTTTTTAAATTAACTTTTTTCTTTTTTAGTTGAGTTTTTTCTATTTTTTTAAATGTTAATGTTGTTTTCTATAAAATATTAAACATTAGAAAATTAGTTTAATTAGAAAAAGCTCAATGATTGTATGATGGATGTAACTTTTATATCCAGAAATAATGGATTGGATCTACATTTAAGAAACACTAATGTTATGATCAACACAAAGAGGAGTACAACATTACTTATATTTTTAAAAATTACATCTAATTTTTTTGT